ATATATATATTTGTTAAGATATGTTGTTTACATGTTTAAAATTTCATGTGAATTGCTTTTGTTTTGAAAAAGTTATTCACATTTATGTCACGTAAATAAAATTCCAAAAATTTTTATTACACACTGTATATATACAGTAACTTTTATTATCAAATCAGTAATAATTACAAATATCTATACATAATAATCATTTATTAACTAATATTAATATTAATTGATACTACTTATTTTTTTTATCAAGATATCAGCTTATACTTTATAAATATGTCTATACTCTAATTTATACTTAATAAGATTCAATCTTAATTTTTAACATGTTAATAATCACTAGATTTTTTATTATATTTATATTTCTGATTCATATAACTAGACTCCTTCTTTATACTTCTTAGTAAATATTTTAAGAGTTATTTCTATAATTAATATATATTATCAAATCTGAAAACTATAGGTCAAGTAGGACATGACTTTTAAATTCTTTAATAGATATTCTATAGATTTTTAGTTAACTTAAACTATCAAATTTAGAAATATAAATATCAATCAGGATGCAATTTCTATAATATTGCTATTAACTTTATTTATATATTTATATCTCTATAATAATTTTCTTCAAAATTATCTAATTAGATTAATATACTTTTTCTTATGAAATCTGTCATATTAGGGAGGGATATAAGCTTATAATAAAAATTAGATCAGAAGTTTTTTTTTATACAATATTCTTTACTTCAACTTGTTTTTAGTTTACAATTATTAGGAAAATTATAAACCTTATCTTTATGCAGCCTATCTAAATTTAAAAATTAATTTTTGACTAATTGAATATGACATAAATTGAAAGCTAATCAATTAATTATAAAAATAATAAATTTTTATAATCAGATAAATTTGAACTCCAGATCTTCCTTTGATAATCTATAAAGTATTACTATTATACTATAAATTCATGGATCTCTTTAATCTTTTTATTTATTACTTTATATATTTTAATTTAAATTTCATTTAATTTTTGTTTTTATTTAAATATAAAATTTATAAAATTTAAAATTGGATTTGATTCAAATTAAAATTAAACTAATTTGAATTTTATTAAATCAAAAATTTTAAAAACCAAATTAATTTAAATTAAAACTAATTTGTGAATCAATTAGTTTTTAGTTTAAAATATTGATTTCTATTTATTAGTACTAATTGGTTTTATTGCCATTTAATTTTCTTTTTACAAGCAATTCTTTTTTTATTTTAAAAACTCATTCATGATTTTTCTTGTGTTACAATATTTTTTAATATTAGAATTTTTTATAACTATTTATCATTTTGATATTTTCTCTAACTAACAATGCAGATATTTTTTTCTTTAGATAATTTGTTTATTTTTAAACTTGTTATTACAATTTTTTTTTTCTTGTTATAATGTTAAAACTCTTTCATAACAATTTATTAATATTCCAATATATTTATTAGAATTAATATCTTGTGAAAAAATACTTTTCTTAATCTTGTTTTTATTTATAAATGACTAATATTAATTTGGTATCATTTTTTTTTTTAATGACTTCATTATTTTTTAATAATTTTTTTTATTATTAATATTTGTAGTTTTTTTATATTTTTATATTACTTTTGAAATAATATGGTATTTAATTAAAAAAATAAGAAAAAAATATTTTATCTTATAATAATTTTTTTACAATAAATAATTATATTTCTTGTAATATAAAATAGAAAGTATTGAAATAATATATAGTATTTATAAGATAAAAGGAATGTTATATCTTATAATTATTATTAAAAATTATAATAATTATTTATAAATCTGTTATTATAAAATAGTATAATTTGCAAACTATAAATTATAATGAGTGTTTCACAAAGTATAAAGTGAATAGATTTGATTAAGGATTATTTTATTTATTTATTTATTTAATAATATTATTATTGTTTTTATTAATATTAAGTTTTTTCTTTTTATATTTTAATTATATACAATATTAAAAATGATATTACTAATAGATAACAATAATAATTATATTTTAATATGTTATATAATTTAATTTTTTAAGATTTTGCTATATAATTAAAAGTTTATAAATTATAGATATTCTGCACTATATAAAAGAATTTAACAAAATGAATAAATTAATAACTTTATTAATAAAATATTAAGATTTCAACAAATCAAATTTAAATAAATTTGAAAAAAAGTTATATAACATATTAACAAATATTATATATCAAATTATTTATTAATTTTATATGTTGATTTATAACAAAAATTTATATTTTATAAATTGAGTATTATTATCAAATTATTTATTTTTATATGGAATAATTGACAAGTAATATTATGTTAAATAAATTATTTCAACTAATGTAATTAGCAACAGATTTGCTGTTTCTTGATTACTATAAATATCAAATAAATATACTGTAAATCAAAAAAAAACTAATTAGTATAATAAACAGCTAACTTTATATAATAAATAATTGTTTGTTTTTTTCAATCATGTTCAAAAATTTGAACTCAAATAAATTTTTTTATGCTTATATGAATTCATTTGTTTTTTTGAAATTTGATAAACTTGTCAAGATATTTATAACATTGAAATAAAATAAAATAATAATAATAATAATAATAAACAAATAATATGAAATGATGTAACAAAAAATTGATATTTATTATTGTGCAATTTGTAAAAAAATATTTTTGGATATGCATATTATTTTTAAATCTATTTGTTAGCAATGGTACTTTTGATGTAAAATTAAAAAGGAATTTTAAAAAAAATTTTTTTTTATGATATAAAAATACTTAAAAGGTGCTATATATAATATTAATATAAAATTTTATTTTGTGTAATTTAAGAAATAAATAAACTAAGTTCTTCCTTAGCACAATACAAGAAATCGCTAATTTTCTAATGAAAATTTATTTCTTTTTTTAAAGAGCGCCATAATAGTTGTGATACACATCAAACAAGTTTTTACCCCTATTTCTTGCAATCTGCTCAGGCAATTTTTGCGAAGCAAAAGCTTCGAATGTGCATTTTATGACATTCATACCATTACGTGATCCATACACTTTGCTCGAAATATCGTGTATACCGATACATTTACATACTTCGTGCACATAGTGATTTGTTCTAATCCCGAATCCTGATGAGAAAATCATGCATGTAACGAGAAAGTAAGATTAGAACGTTGTGAAGTGACAAATCCAGCAAACACAGTGATTTTACCTGGAGCTCTAGCCCAAAATTTAATCACGGTTGCATGAAATTTTTGCTCAATATCGTGATATATTGTTCTATCATCATATCTTTCAAAATATCTCAGATTCTTTATAGCTTTGTTTGTGGCTTTTTTGATGGCAGTCGGTGCCTCTTCGTCTTTTCCCTCTCCAAACCCGGCCACCCCATTTCCATTTCCGACCACCACTAACGCATACATACTCACCATTCTACCTTTACCAGTTTGATTTTTAACACTTTTTACAACTAGGGTCTTTTTCATCAGATTGCGAATTTCATCGGATGTCAGACCGGTGATGGCTGACAAAGTGTTTGTATCATCGCTTTCTGTTTCTGGTGCTGTTATAACCACAGATGGACGTTTGGTGGGGAATGGAGGATCGATGATTGATTCCTTTGATGCATCAAGCGCGTCAAGAATTGGATCTATTTTCGATAAGTCAGGAAGTTGTGATGGAGCAAGATCTGGAAAACGAGGACGAGGTGGTCTATCATATTTAGCTGAATGGACGATATTTTTAATGGGTTGGCGTGAAATAATTTTATCATCAGACGAGTCGGTAAAGACAAGTGCTGTGGTTGAAAATTTACGTTGATGAACGGTGGCGTCTATTTTAAAAAAGTTTTTTATTTAGAGCCTTTACCTTTACCGGGATTTGAATAATACAATTAATTTAACTGGCACTCAATTCTTACCAAATGCGCAAAATGAACATGTTCGTACACGTAAAGAAAAAAAAAATCTTAACATTATTCACAGCACGTAATGTAGATTAATTAAATCTGTCGCGTTTTATGTGTGTGCATATAATTGGCTCAAGTACAAAAGCCACATGAATTCAAGTAAACCCATTGACCTATCATTAAACACGAGTTCTTCCTACTAGCGATAATGACGGATTACCGAATTAAACCAAAGTTCTTCACCACAACAAAGAAAGGTTAGCCTCATATATCCAATTCTTTATTTTAAAAATTGTAATTACAAAATTTGTGAGGCGATCATTTTGAGAAGCAGACAGAAGAATTTCGACGACTTTCTAGATTCATCCAACAAAGATTTTTTCATTTCGACCAGGACCATTGTTTTGTAGTCTGATTGCTGCAACTTACTCCTATTGTTGATTGCAAAATATCACCAACAAACTAGGACCTTTGCAAGAGATGCATCCATAGTTAAAGATTTTTTGCTTGCTTGTTCATATTCTTTGAATTCTGTAGGCGAGAATTATGAACTCCGCGCAGATCTTAATAGCGAATATCGTGACCGACGAAAGGATGCCATCAAAAAAGTTATTGCAAATATGACCGTTGGGAAGGATGTTTCGGGTTTGTTTCCCGACGTTCTGAAGAACATGCAAACTGATGATCTAGAGCAAAAAAAATTGGTATATCTGTATCTAATGAATTATGCCAAGACACAACCTGAATTGGTAATTTTGGCCGTAAATACATTTGTCAAGGTAAGCAACAAGAAACAACACCATCGATGCTATTAATGTTTCTTACAGAAAAAAAAATTGATCAAAGAATTATGACAGGACACCGATGATAATAATCCACTCATTCGTGCACTCGCAATTCGGACCATGGGATGCATTCGTGTTGAGAAGATTATTGATTATCTATGCGAACCATTAAGGAAAAGTTTAAGAGTAAGAAATCTACTATAAGTTGTTATGATTTATTATTTAAATCATTTTAACCTTTGCTTTTTATCTTCTATTCTTTAAGGATGATAATCCATACGTCCGGAAGACGGCAGCAATTTGTGTTGCAAAATTATACGACCTGAATCCTGAATTGGCTACAGAAAATGGATTTGTTTCGGCTTTACAAGATATGGTGTCTGATTCAAATCCGATGGTACTAAATCTTATTGTTTATTAACTTTCTTTGAGATTGATGCTCCATGATTTGATTACTCAATCTGGTTTATTTTTTCTTTCGTAGGTTGTAGCAAATGCAATAACAGCGCTCACAGAAATAAACGAGGCCTCTGAAACAAAAGATATATTTATTATTAATACACCCACACTTACTAAACTTTTGGTAGCGCTCAACGAATGTACCGAGTAAGATTAGAACACGTAATTTTGACTATTTTTAAAAGTTTTTTTTCATTCCGAATAAAATTTTTTTTATTATTATTAATTTAAAGATGGGGTAGGATAGCCCTTCTCTCTTCTTTGGCTGAATACAAACCTATGGATTCAAGGGAAGCTGAGCATGTAGTCGAACGTGTTGTTCCACAATTTCAACATGCCAACGGAAGCGTTGTCTTGTCTGCAATTAAGGTAATTCATCAGCTTTGTTGAGGAATCGCAATATGATCCAACTTAACGTGATTTTAATAGGTGGTGATGATATATATGAGGATAATAAAAAATGAAGAGGTTATACGACAATTAGTTAAGAAGCTGGCACCACCGCTTGGTAATTATCAAATACGAATTTATCATAAGTTTTTTGCTTATAACAATTTTGTTCATTTGCCTATCAACTTTTTTTTGTTTCAGTCACACTGTTGTCTTCTGCACCTGAAGTTCAATATGTTGCCTTGAGAAACATCAACCTCATATTGCAACAGAGACCCGACATTTTACAAAATGAAATGCGAGTCTTCTTTTGTAAATATAATGATCCGCCGTATGTCAAATTAGAAAAATTGGAAATTATGATCAAGTTGGCTAACGATAGGAATGTAGATCAATTACTGTCAGAATTAAAAGAGTATGTATTTATTAGTATGTCTGTAATTCTCAATTCATAACTGTTTAATAATTAATTTCTCACTTCCCTTTCAGGTATGCGTCTGAAGTCGACGTAGATTTTGTCAGAAAATCCATTCGGGCTATTGGACAGTGTGCCATCAAAATTGACGAGGCTTCTGAAAGGTGTATCAACGTTCTATTGGACTTAATTAATACAAAAGTGAATTATGTAGTTCAAGAAGCTATTGTCGTCATCAAGGTAAAAATTGATTATTTGGTGAGTCAAACACACGATATCTATCGATGCTTATTCTGAATGTTTTTTGCGCTACAGGACATATTTCGAAAGTACCCACACAAATACGAGGGAATAATTCCAACCTTGTGTAAGAATTTGGAGGCGTTAGATGAACCAGAAGCGAAGGCATCACTTATTTGGATTATTGGAGAATACGCCGAGAGGATAGAAAATGCTGACGAATTAATCCTCACTTTTCTGGACACTTTTAGGGATGAGAACCCTCAGGTGTGAGAAAGCTCAAATCCTTTCAAGATTAATAAGTTACTGTTAGAGTTGTGCTAACGTTGCCTTTTAATGGGAAAGGTCGAATTACAATTGATCACCGCGACCGTTAAGCTATTTCTCAAAAAACCACAGTCTACACAAAATATTGTTCAACGTGTACTACAGATTGCCACGACAGAGTGTGATAACCCCGATATCCGGGATCGAGCATATGTATATTGGAGATTATTGTCTACAGATCCTCAAGCTGCCAAGGTATAATCTTGGCTTATATTCCCTTTTCGTAAAACTTAATTCAGGAATTATTTCGGGTTTTGTAATAATTCCTAACTATTTCTCTAGGCCGTCGTCTTATCAGACAAACCACCGATATCTGTGCAAAGTAACACAGTGTCAGGTCCGTTACTGGAAGAATTGATCAATAACATTTCAACCCTTGCAAGTGTGTATCACAAACCTCCGGAAACGTTCCTTGGGAAGGGTCGGTTCGGTGCGGACGCAGTTCAAAGAAGAGCTATCGAGTATGTATTTTGTGTTCTTATGTGTTTAATGCACTTTCCGTGCCCTAATTTATCGTGATTTAAACTGCAGGGAACAGGAAGAAGCATCACGAGAGTCGCCAATTCAGGCACAAACAAAATCTAACATCGAAAACCTATTGGATCTCGATTTTGGAGATTCCACCAGTGAAACGGCATCCCCAATTGCTACAACTTCTAATTCCTCAGCACCCACCACTAATGTTGATGATTTGCTAGACTTGTTTGGCGGGAGTAGCATAAAATCAACAACAGGTCAGGCTTCCTCTTCCAATCATCAAAACAATGGTTTATCAAATGATTTGGTGAGCCTGTTCTAAATAATCATAATAGTAATAATAATAACAATCACAAAACCAAAAGTAAAAATGTTGAGCAAAAGATGGAATGATAATTTATGAACAAAAAACTATTTTTTTTTGCATCATGTCGAAAAGGCTTGGTGTGGCTAAGATACAGACGGGAACGGGGAGGCTTTGATTTTGTAGATGTGATGGTGGGAAACTGGATTTAAATTTTTTTCTATCGTTTCATAGAAATTTGTCTTTCATGCAAATTAATGTAACATTAATCGAGACAAAAAGATCAACAATGAATCACAAATAGAGAAAATAATATTATTTACTATTATTTATAATTAAATATACAAATACTTTCATTGGACTGTAATTCAAGCGTAAATCAAACAAATATTTTCCGAGCGTTCGAGAATGACTCGCCCGAAATGAGATTACTAATAAAACACGTAAAATATTTTATTAAAAGCTAACAGAATCTATCATCGTTCCCAGTGTCATCACGATATTGTTTGACATGACATCTTCTACGTTTTCCTCCAAATGTCGTTTTGGATCTTGTTTTCCCACATGACGAGTTTTCAATTGATCGGCTGTCATCGTCGATTCCTCCTGCACCGATTTGTTATAGGCTTCGGCAAGAGTAAGCATCGACTACATGTGAGAGGAAGTGAAAATTGGTTCTTGAACAATATTGATTGAAAATTTTCAAATCACCTACCTTAACAGATTTTTCGTTATTTTCAGTATGTTCGGTAAAGTTATGTAGTGTCAATCCATGAGTCCAATTTTTCTTGTGCAAATTAAGTAACATCTTTTGTTCCAATTCATTTTTTCGATAGTTGATCGCAATAGAGTAATAATGCCGATTTAATCCATGGATCAACGCCTACGCGCGCAAGAAAATTTTTTACCGATCAGTATGATTCAACAGGTAATGAATGAATGAACAATAGTATATGATAGGATTTGATCATGTCGTGTACCTGAATGCTCGGTTTGTTGAGATGTCCAATGTTTGATGTGGTTTGACGTGGTTCTTGACCAAGCATTAGCATTTGAGGGTTGATCAAACGAAAAGCATCGATAACCACTTTTCCTTTAACCGACTGAATGGGATCCACGACTACCGCCACAGCTCTTTGATTCAATGCCTCAAAACTCTAAGGATAAAATTGCAACTAAGAAATAACGTATCGAAGAGTAGCACGGATCTTTGACAAACGAAACTCTTGTACCTGCTGAGTATTGATGTCAACACTAGACAACCAACATCCAAATCCGGGATGAGAATGATACCAACCAACCACCATTTCTGGACTGAATTAAGAATCCGCGGTTTAATTAATGAATCAATGATGCTCCAAACAAGCTATCCATACCGTCCAGTTTGTCTCAACATATCCAACATCTTTGTTTGGAAAACGGGATCAACCGCCTCAACAGAAACACCAGTACCACTTTGAGGCATGGCGAACACATCAATTACTCGAACCGTGTAGTCGTCCACAAATTCTCCTAACATCAGCCCCATGACTTCCATTGGCACTCCAGCACGACCTGTAATTTAACATTCAAACCATATTGGCACACGATGCACTTACTTCCACTTCAACTTTCGATTTTCGGATGCGAACTTACCATGTTTTAACATCTGTTCGAAGATTGAAATCAGAATTTCACGAATGCTCAAAATCCCAATACGCATGTCCTCTGTAACCTACCTTGAGCAACGCCAGCGAGGAAATGTAAACCATTTCTGCGTTGTCAACTGTCGGTGTGTCTATTCCGGGAGCTTGCCCCGGTGTCGCGCTGAAAAGTCGTTGAAATCTCTCCATAATGTTTCGAGTGTCTGATTAGTTGAGGGGAAAAGCTAGGATCTTACGTACGTGTGTTATTACGTAACATAAAGCATTCCTATTTATTTAAACAAGCAGTGCTTATTTTTGGAACGCTCTGCTGATTTAACTGACTCTTGAATATTGTAAAAGTGTTCCATAACAATAATAATAATCGATACTCCAAATGAACGGCGGAATTAAGTCAATGCCTGTATGTGAAAGGTGATGATGTATACTTGCAATATTAAGAAGTAAAGATTTATTAGCGCGATGCATGTGTTAATAGAAAATTTCCTCAGGCTTTACCTTAGTTACCTAATACATATTGTGCTTAATAATGTCCGATTTAATCATCGATAGTTACATTCCTGCGGCGTAACTTGTGATAACCCTTTGTCTTGAGAGAGACATTCTAAAGTTTAACAAATGCGACCTTCACGGCACCTATTTTTTGGTTTAGTTATATCATTCATTCAATGTTTACTCTTTCCGCCAGGTACCTTGTTTTTAGAATTAAAAGGGACTCGTTATGAGACCTTTGATTTTTTTTTTTTTTCTTTTGGAAGGACAGTAACGGTCATTTATGTTTTAATAAAAATGCCTGGAATTCACCACTTTCACAATAGTAATATCGCAAACATCGGACGGGAATGATCCGTTGTATGATGCATTTTACCAAGACCTAGGAGGAGCTGCGTGCGTTCGACTTCTGAATTCGACAGGAGTAATAGGATGTCAAGGTACAGTTTGCTTTGCGCACAAAATCACTACTTGAAGAGAAATGGTATTGAATTTGTGTCACGCATTCATACGTGTCGACAGCTTTGAAACCAACGACGGGAGTGCTGTATTTGACTGACACGCAAGATAGTTTAACGCAATTTATCAAAAATGGACCAAGTGGAGCATTCGCGGTTATTTTGCCCTATCAGTTGATGACAAAGTAGGTTCTCGAAACCTTTTTCACGTGTGAAGCATATAATCACTTGACAAATCACCGATTCTAACGATAAAAAAAAAAAAAAAGTGAAAACCTTCGTGCGCTTGGTTCGTCGGGCAAATTAGGAGGAGTAATTGCGGTGATAAATGGAACATCCAATTTGATTGCATCAAGACCAAATTCATTTTCTCCCGATGAGCTCTGTCCCAATTGTCAATTTGGATTGTACAGGAATGACTCAAACCAGTATAACTGGAATCCTAACGTGAGTTCGATTAGTATCTGACAAGTTGTGCACTGATAACCAAGCTTACGCAAAAATCCGAACTTCAGGGAATTGGCTTAATCCAACAAAGTTTTGAATTTCCGATATTTGCATTGTATCCAATCGATGATGGCTCGTCAAACGCATACAATATGATCATGGATGTATGCAATTTCCTTCACGATATTTTTATTCGATTTTCTGTCATTAATAGTGGATTAAGTTAGAATGTTTACAATTTATAGGGCGCTGCATACAATGCGGCAAATTCCTTCAAATCTTATCCTTTGAAGGCTGTGGAGTTTAATTCGATGATGTGGGCTGCGATAGACGCGAAAACTTGTTTAAGACGAAGTACATGACCTTGTCATTCTGCTATTCTTGTATGAATGAACGAATGGTGTGAATGAGTTTATTGTAAATAAGATGTGTTTACATATGTTGGGCATGATTTATCTTTTATTAGATTTTTGTTCTCCGATTGGAGGGTACTCCGTTTACTCTACTCCTTCGCTCAATATGACTAATGATGACGGAAAACCTATCGTAATAGTCGCCGCCGCAATGGACAGTCGGGCGCTATTTCACGATCTGATTTTGGGCGTAGATAATGGAATATCTGGGACTATTGCAGTGCTTGCAGTTGCAGATGCCTTAAGTCGAGTAAGTGATTTGCCATCTACGGCAGATAAATTGTATCCTGATTTCAGATGATCCAAACAAATGATGTTAAGGTTTTCCTCTTATCAGTCCCCTGTCCCTGTTACAACCTTTTCTAAACATATTCTGTACACCCTGTTCACTGGAGAGGCGTGGGGATTTGCTGGCTCCCAGAGATTCGTGAATGACATTACTACTCCGTTTGTTTGCAAATCGAATCAAACACATGCAACCGAAAATTGTCCTTTTGTGGGTGTATGTAGTTCTCCATGTATACACGACAAGGATTTTGAGCAAATCAATTTCGCGAAAATTGATTCGATATTTGAATTTAGTCAAGTTGGCATTAACACCACCGGTTTCTATGCTCATGTGGATGATCCAAAGAATTCAAAAAACAATTTGCTTATAACTCAATTGGAACGATTATCGGCGGCAGCGAACAACGGTAGTTCGTTTGTAAAACCAGCGTACAATGGTGTGACTAACAGGAAATTGCCCCCATCTAGCTCCATGGCTTTTCTGGAAAAAAATCGAAAACTATCGGCTTTGGTGTTGGGAGATTTTCAGGCTGATCTAAAAAAGTCAGGAGAGCTTTCATCACTATTATCATTGGCAACCGGCATATTTCACTATAATTTTCATTATGATAATCTCTTGCCAATTTTAGATATTATAACAGTGAATATGATGATGGATTTGACATGTCATCGGTCGGCGCGTCAATATGTTCGATTGCCAATGTCACTGCCCAGGCGGTATGGCTCCAAGCCCAGGGAATAACAAATGCCACCACAGTACCAATATCAGTTAATTGCGATTTAATTCAACAGTTATTATATTGTTTGGTGTATAATTATTCGTGCCCGATCGTTGAGTCCTTGTATAACAGTAAGTTTTTATCAAGTTGCTTCTATTGATGAATGCATGACTTCCCAAGGTCACTAATATTTTTCTGTTTAGCATCGGATAGTGGTAGAATAAGTCATTATTCTGGTGTATTCCAGATCAATTTTCCGAGCGATATTTCATTTTTTGTATTCAATTATTTATCGAACCTTACCGCCTCAAATACTTCTAGTAAGGCGAATTGTCAAGATGATGACGATTGTAAAGTAAGTTTATCGATCCAACTGATCGGGATTGGTCGCTCTTAGCTTATATTATAATTTTGTAAATCTTTTTACATTAGTCTGGTGAATTTTGTGTGGCCAGTAAGTGTACAAAGTCTTTCACGAGATATCACAGTTCATACGGGGCAGGATTTGAATACGATCAAAATGGCAATCCATTGATTGCAGATGCCACTAAAGCTACTTGGGTGGAAAGCGTGTAAGTTGTGATTTTATCGTCGAATTTGTCATTGATAATAACGACATTTATATCAATTATCTAATTGGCAATTTTATCCTGTTTTAGATGGAATACAATTAACATGAGGATATTTATAGTATCATCAATATCTCAACAGTTGGTTGAATTATTTTCTGGGATCATAATAACAATCATCAGCATCCTGTGTGTAATATTCGGAAAAAAATATCTAAAAAAGACGTTAAAAGTTGCTTAAGGAATAGATTCGTCGATTCACCTACATCAATCGCACCTATAGCTTTTAGAATAATTTACATATCTATAACGTTTTGATGGGCACGCGTTATCAATGATAAAAAGAAAAGATATTAATTAGATTTTATTTATTTATATATATTACTTTACTTAAATTATTAAATTAATATTCAAACCTGATGATAAAATAAAATAAAACCCGAGATGTAGTTTATTTCGTATGTGAAAAAAAATTTGTTAATCAAGTCATATATAATTAGATCGCGTATACACTTTGTTAATAAAATACTGTGTATCGCGTATATGTATATGCATTAATAGCTATTTTTGTTTTCATTTTCTGTGAAGGATTTATAAGAGGTATGATTTCCCTTCAAAGGTACCTTAACTAGTTTAAAGACTTCTTGACTTATTTGACAGTCTCCAAAGAGTCACTTATTGATGCATTTATTTATTGATTGCATCATTCATTGGATTGCTATTGATTTTATTAATTCCATTGGAAGCAATTTATTGTAATATGCTCTGTTAATTACAAATAAAATGGTTTTTATTGTCACAAATATTATCTTTTTATATTTTTAATTAAAATATTTTATAATTTCAAAAAATAAACAATTAAATATAATAAATTAACTTGATATTTTAATTTAATATTTTATAGAATTCAATAACTTTAAAATATTTAACAATAATAATAGTATTCTATTTTAATATTAATTTTTATATATAGTTTTTTTGCTTTTTTAATTAATAAATTCTTTTAAAAAAATATTGTTTTGTTACTTTAATTCTTTAAAAAATATTGTTTCATTATTTTTTTATTTTTTAAAAAATCAACCTTGTTATTATTCTTAAAATATAATCAAAAATTTTTTATTAATATTTGAATTATATATATTTTTAATAATACTGACTTTTCAATTAGTAAAATAAGACTTAACTTTAATAATATTATTGGAATTTTTAATGGCTTGACATCTTGATTTTTAAAATAACTTTTTTTATAATAATTTTATCAGGTAAAATAAAAAAATTAATATCAATGTTCTAAAATTAAGCATTACGCATATATTTATTAGTATAGCTTTTCTAGTTATGTATATACAAATAGGTTGTCACCACATAAAACCCCACACCTCAAATTTTGTTATATCGATTAATGTTTGTATTGCATGTTGTACCAATTAATAATGTTCGGTGTCTTAATTTCGTAAGGTTATACTATATTATTATATTTATTGTATGTTAGGTGTTCCTTCGTCCGTATCATCGAGTTTTATTTTCTTTATAATCTCACTGTCTGATACATCTGTTGCAGGTCGCGGTCTCTTCTTTTTTGATATCATCCAATCCCAGAGTTCTATTTCATCGATAATGTCATATAATACATCCTCGGCGATGTATTCCATATACCGCTCAGACATTGGTCGCCATTTTCGTGTTATATTATTATTATTATTATTATTATTATTATTATTGTTGCTTTTCTTTGTTGATGATATATTAGACGTGGCTGCCAGTGCTAACAATAACAATGATGAAGACGACGATGTTGTTGATGATGAGGATGATGAGATCGTTGATGCGTTTTGACTTTTCTTTTGTATATTAACTACCTCGGCCTCCGGATCGGGTTGTGGTGGATATCGAAAATATGGCCCGAAGTTTAATGTACATGTACCGCCTCGAAACATAGAAACAGCCGGATAATAACCAAGCGATCCGTCATCCTCGGTTAGATTTTCTTCGTTAGTGCGCTCATCAACCATAGGGAAAAATGAATACAAATCCTCAAAAGCTACTCCTTGACATACACCGTTTTTGTAAACAATGATCTTGGAGCCGGGCAATTTTGGAATTATTGGCGGAGGTTGTGTAGATGAGTTTTTTGCTTCTTCTTGCTTTTGTTGCCACCAAAAATTTTTAGTTTTTTTCTTTTCTGGCAACTCAAGTAGATCATTCATCTTGTTCGTTGGCTTGAAATCTTTGTATTCGAATATGGTATCCCCTTTGAATAATATTGGAATCCTATGTCTTTTTGGGCACTTTGGTTTGTAATCTGGGACGCCCTTGTTTAAAGGTGGCAAACTTATATAAAGACCTATGACATCACCTGTCTTGAAAGGTTCTCCATATCGAGAAAGTCGTGACTGATGTACTTTATGTCCAGTGAGATCTCTAAATCCATAACTATAAGCATCAGAACCAACAGAAGAATTCCTATTGCCTAAAAGAAATACACATACCCGTAGATAAACAATTAACTTTTAAACAAAAGATATTTTTTAAACAAGAGAATTTCTCAAATTTACCTTCACGGCGCGCCCAACCGACTCTAACGTGTGCTCCATCTTTACCATCAATTTTACCTTCCCCGCCACGATCTATGAAAACTTCATAGAACCAATTTCCTTCCTTCACAGGGCAATTAGCTCTGGCCATAGAGAATCCATATTCTGTAGTTGTAGTCAATTGGTCACCACTAATCCATACTGAAAGACTCGCATCTTCTTTGGATAGACGCACTCCATAGGGAGGTAATTCAGAATTCCGATATTGCATATACGGAAAAAACACGTCACTTTGACATGGTAAATATTTGAAGCCGTGCCTAAGATTATTTTGTTCACCAGACTGTCCAAATTCTGTGTTAGAGGAATTTGCTTCGATCAAGGCAATCACGGTGTTCTTTGGGTTTGACTGCATAGGCGGAGCAGGAGGTGTCATGCCTTGTTCGGTAGATGGAAGTGGCGTTATCTGACGTTTCGAGGAGGAGGCATGTACGATAGATTGAGATGAATCATCCTGTGTTTCTGATTCATTTACAGTACGAGTATTGTTTTTTGTGGATTCTTTGTGTAATCTAGATTGATTTCGAGAGTGCGATGTCTATACAATGCATGACTATTTTAATAATTCGTTACCAAACAATCTGACTAAAAAAAATATTGAATACATAAAGAATACCCCAAAGTGTCCAGGTCTAATATTCCATAAATTTGGATCGACAAGGCAGAAATTTGAACTAGCCGATCTACAATGCTCGTCCTTAGCAACAAAAAGATCTTTGGTCGAATACAAACAAGATCCAAGCGTCGCCCACCTATATCGAGGATTCAATTAATAATTTTCCATAATCAATCACACGAAAATGTTACTATACCAAGTCGCAGTTCTTGATCGTTCTGTACATAAAGATGACCAATTTTTGTCTACAAATGGCCGTAAATGATCATTTTTATTGAAATAATAATTAAATGGTGGTAGTTTCTTGTAATTTTTTGATAGATATCTACTATCCCCCTTCAAGGCTTGATGGTCTGCCATGTGTTGCTGGAGCATAAGATTTGCAATTGCACATCCGCCAATTTCTTTCCATCCTGCTTGACTTCTCTAATAATATAAATTTATTAAAATTATATTTACTGATAATATTTGAAGTATAACACGAAATAACGGAAAAAATACCTTGAAATTTTCGCCCTCGAGTTCATTACAAAATTTACAAATAAAACGATAATTGGTGAAAATCGGAATAGTCTTATCAATAGAAGCCTTTATACACTTTGCATGGAACCAATTCAGACATTCTGTGAAGAATAAAAGCGATTGGATTATAGAACAGTTAATTAAATAACATTTAAATGACAACGAGACGCGACGTGTCTTAATCGAATAACTCACGACAACATTGCACTGAAACCTCAGTTAAGTTTCTGTCTTCACCGCAGTAACAGTATTGATGCTCCTCATTGATTGTATGTGTTTCGTTCCAAGTAAGTTTGTTAGGATCATAGGACATTGACATAACTAAACGCCGTTTACTCTATATTTTGAAAGTTTCAAGAGTTAACTAGATTAACGCTCTTCTTATTAACAATGTTATTGGACAGTTTATGTAATTACACAAAAATATGCCTATCATGAGTTAATATATCTTTTAATTAAACTAGGAAAATACTTATCGATATATGCTTTAACACCTATTTAATATTTTATATTAAATTATATTGTAAAGATTGCATGTATAAACCTATTACACCTTCATTTTTATTAATAATATGATATTAATTTTTTTTTTCTATAATCAAACAAGTATTTATTGTGTTTATTTAATTATTGGAGTTAAAAACATAATAGTACAAAGCTTTTATATATAAACTAAGCTAATACTTAAATATCTATTACTGATTTTTAATTTCTAAATATAATCTTGAAGAAAAATAAAATTGCTTTCTTTTTTTCTTTATTTCTAAGAAGATTTTGAATTTATTGCTTACAATTTATTATTAGAATTTATTTTGGCAAATTTTTAATTACTTTTTATTTTCAATTACATAATTAATTTTTTTTTTAATACTAACTGTGCTATATATGATAATTTTATTAGTCATACTTTGAAGATTATATCTGTATATAAACAGTCTATTAACTATTACTAATATTAATTGGCACAGCATAATTAATCTTATATACTAACTTATATTTAAAGGTAGATTTATATTTCATTAATTATTTTGATACAATTATTTTGACACAATTATTTTGATACAATTATTTTGACACAATTATTTTGATACTATTATTTTGATGCAATTATTAAATATAATTATTTTGATACAATTATTTTGATATAATTATTTTTATAAAAATTAAATTAATATAATTATTTTTATAAAAATTAAATTAATATAATTATTTTATTTAAAATTAATTTGATTTTTTTTTTTTTTTAATCCTGCAATCAGATTGGTGTCATTTATTTATTAAATCATAAAGAACTATTACACGTACGAGAATATATGCAAAGTACAAATTTTTCTGATCCAACTTACTCATCTTTAACCAAAGCCTCTAGATACGATTTATGGGGTAATATATTGTTTCCCTAAAGGATGAGATTAAAATCCTGAACTTTCAATAGGATCAGCACCTGCAGATCACCTTTACAGTTACAACCATAAATCCAAATTGTGTCACCCTCCTCTTGTAAAAATTACGCAAAGAGAAAAAGAAATAAAAAAAGGAATTTTTGACAAAGAAAAAAGAAAAAAAAAGCTATTATCTATTCTAATTATCATTGAAAAGATTATTTCAATGAACTTAAAATTCAAGTTCCTTATGGTTTTCCACTTCTCATCACCTGTAGCTAGTCAGACTGTTTAATTTTCAATAGAGTAGTTGATGTCCAAGAACGTTTAAGAGTACTTTCAGGAGAATATTTCTTGAAACTTTACACTTGAAGACTTCTAATCAGAAAGAATATTGGTTTTCTATTGTTGATTTTTCTTCCAAGTCATATCTTCTGGAATTATAGCTTCACTCAACTAGTGGATAGTTTCAAGATCCCTTTCTTCAACTATTTTTGAAATAGATATCGATACTTTAACTTGTTACCAGATTGGAATAGGACTTAGACCTTGTTGCTACTTCCTGTTCTCAAGAAAGAATAAGGAAGAAAATAAAAGAAAATAAAAGAATGAGAACAAAAAGGGTCACTTCTCTTCTTCTCACAACTTCAATTTAAAACCGTCCAACTCTTTTAGGAACCAATTACATCATCAGTTTGATGTTGCATAACTGGAAACATGTAAGGAGTATATATTTTGTTTACTTTTTCTATAGCTGACATGATCAACCAATCCATGACCTTAACCAATCATCTTTCAGAAAATCCAGTGTAACCAAAAAATTCAGGGTCAAATTGAGATAGGCAAAATTCCCAGAAAAATCAGAAAAAAGAAAACACGCTTGAGAAAAAAGAAGTGGAAAGCCAAAGAAATAATGGAAAGACTGGAAACTTTTTTATTCTTGTTTCTTTAGATTCTTGAATCTTTTGGGGATTTTTGAAGGGTATTTTTTCTTGTCAGTTTTCTTCCTATAAAGGTGTTCTTACTGTAGATCTTTTAGGTGGGTTTCTTGATTTAGTCGCAAAAATAAACAAGAAAAGTGTTTTGAAAAAGAAAAATAAAACAAGTGGTGGTTTCTGCTCGCTCAGCTGGTTAAAACCAGTATTGTTTTTAAGGAAAGTGTATAGACTTTATTATCATAAAGACAAAAAATCTTTTGAGAATATTTGTTTTTTGGGTTGGCAAAAGGATCAGTGGAAAGAGTTTTTATTTAAAATTAAATTGATATAATTATTTTAATTAAAATTAATATAATTATTTTTATTTTTATAAAATTCTTTAATATAATATAAATATAAAATATAAATTATTTTGTTATTAATTTAATTTTAAAAATCTTTTTTTTTTTTTTTGAAAAAAGAAAATGGCTATCACACTTTATTATATTTATTATATTTTTATTTGTAAGGCAAGGTACAATATTCAATAGCATAATATATATCTCTTTTTGCTAGGAAGAGTTTAATACAAGGCTCTCATATGGGGTCAGACTCCTATACTTTTTTAGCACTATTTAAGAAATATAGACAAAAAAAAATTCAAAAATCTATATTATATTATAAATAGCGTCTAGCTACCTAGAAGTAAATGAATACCTAATTATATGAAGATACTATAGCCAATTTATACAGGTTGGCCTCCAAGTCATGATTAGGGTTGACACACTTGCTTTCCAAATATGGCTTAATGTACAGCAAGCAGAGTAGTGTTGAAAGTAGTAAGAAATATGTATTTTTTTACATAAAGATACTGTAGCTACTTTATACAGGTTTACCTCAAAATCACAAAAAAAATTTGACACACCCATGCTTCAAATGTAATGGAAGTGTCTTATGGGTGAAGTTTATATTGGTTTTCTTAATGGTACTGGAACCTAATCTTGTACAATAGACCTATATTGTCAGAGCGTAAGTGAGAAACTTTTGTTGTTATCACCAGCTTGTGTTGTGGGGGTAACTAGAATCCTTGGTCATTACGTATTACCCTACTAAATTCCCTAATCACTAACATAACATCTGCAACTAACCTAGCTTATTGCTAGTTGCATTGGCATTGGCTGCTATTTCACTCTAGATATTGTAAAGTCAACTTCTTGGATATTTTTGGATAATAATAGTTGTACAAAGATTTCTTGGATATATCTAGTCTAACCGCCAATCAGTAAATAATGCTGGGTTTGATAATGATGACCATGTCAATTTTTTGAAGAGAGTAAGCCATCCATTCTTTTTCTAAAAAACTATGGAAGAGAATAAAAATCCTAAAGTCCATATCCTAAGAAAGGTTACCACTTTTTAATATGGTCCTTAAGAAAAGAGTGTTAACTGACCAGAGAAGTAATATTATAAAGATAAAGTTTTCAAAAAAGAGAGAGGCCTAGAGAGAAAAACCTTCAGAAAAAAGGAAAAACCTAACTTCAGCAGGAAGAAAAAAAGTAAAAGAAGAAGGGTGAATAAAAATAAAACAAAGTATATAGAAAAGAGATGAGAGAATAGGAAGAGGAAAATAAAGAGATAGGAAAGGGGACATAAGAAGAGAGGAAAAGGAAAGACGAAGAAAAAGAGTAAACAACTCAAAAAATTTCTTAAAAAGAAAATTTTCAAATATAGAAAGAAGAGTGGAAAAGAGTTTTTTTTTTTTTTAGATTATTCTTTAATTTTTTTTTTTTTTTTTAATCGCAAACAGGCATTAAATGCGAGACTTTTATTAAACGAGAGTTTATAGCCATTACATTAAGAATCTTTACATATTTAGAAAACTGTAAATTAATCCTAGCCTATCGCAACTAACTAATAGTACCAACTGTCACCAGGTGGGTGGGTTCATACTAGTAGTGTTGAATGGCTAATGCCTATTCA